CTTCTGATACAACCACCAGGTCCAGGGGCCAAAATCAGGAGGGCTGCAAAGCAACAGTGTCCAAGTCAGGAACAGCCGACGCAAACAAGTCCAACCTCTTCACTTGTCTGGTAATGTGGTGATGCAAACCCTCTGAGGCAGTGGGCTGGGTCAGGGTGGGACTGACAATGGTTGTGGGAAACTCCCTTTCTGGCTGTTTCATGCAGAGAATGAGGAGTAAATCATGCTCTGAGGAGTTGTGAATTCTGGCTGTGATCAGATCCTATCTGCCCAGAGCAGGCACTGGCACTACGGAGGGACTGAGTCACTCTGTGGAGACAGAGGAAGGAAATAGAGGGCCTGCTCCTGAGAGCTCTGCTCTAGGAGCAGAATCAAGCCCAGCATGTTTCAATGATAGCCAAAGAGCTAATGATGAAAACATGCTGGATATAAGGCTGACAGAGGCCTCTAAGGGAATCTGTGTACTGGAGAAACAGGGAATCAGTTATGATAAGAATGGAGTCTGCAGCCCATTGCCTGCTCAATGATCATATGCGCAATGCATATAGAGAAGCAGAAGACATTAATTATTAACATTAGGCGGGGGAGGCGGTTTTCCAGATGCACCAGTCCCTGCGCTCTGTATATCTGAGCTCTCTCCACAGCAATTGCAGCCTGTTGCACTGGGATGGAGGGAAGCTGATATCCCACCCTCACCCCGCTTCTGCCGTAAGTGCAGCACGGCACAGCAGGGATGCTGGCTTTTCCCAGCTGGTGTCACTTCTTTGGCTCCCTTTGCTGGCAGGCCTCGGGCTGCACTGCTGAGCTGCAGCTCCAGCTCCATGCTGCGGCCCAAGGAGGGGTGAGAAAAGGAACCTGACTTGCTTCCCCTGGGTCTCCCAGGCAGGTCACCTCTCCTCCCCATCTCCTGGTGCCCCTTACTGCAAGGTTCCTCAATGCCCACCAGAGCCACTCAGCTCAGGGTGACACTGTGCTCCTGGCCAGCCCCCATCCTGTGCAAACAGGGCCAGCGCTGCACTGCCTGGAAGGGGGCAGAGGGGTTGCAGGGTCAGAGCTGAGAAACTCGCCATAGACACCCCCGTTCCACCCGGGTGCAGGCTGCTCTCTTGGGTCCCGCCTGCACCTGCTTCCCACCCGGGGACCTCAGCATCTCCTGCTCCCTCCCCTGCAGCCACAGGCGATTGCCCGCGCGCTCCCTCGCAGGCAGCCCCCCACCTCCTCCAGGCTCCAGCGCCTGGCCTTGGTACAGCCAACGGGAGCCCGGAGCCCGTGCGAGCTGCTATCCCACCCCCTTTCCGGATCACGCAGTTGGTACAGTCTGCCGAGCCCCAGCCAGCCCGGCCCGGGAGGCAGCCCCAGTTGCACTCTCGGCCGGGCCAGACCCGCTGGAGCGCTGCCTGCCCTGCCTGGAGAGAGAAGCGTGCACCGGGCTGCAGCGCCCCCTGCACCCGCCCAACCCTGAGCGCGCCCTGGGCTGCCTGCAGCAGACAGCGCCCGCCTGCCCGTCCGCTGCTGGCCATGTCCGGACCCGGAGCTCACAGCCAGAGCAGGAGGCTGCCCTGTAAGTCCCCTCTCGGGAAGGCTGGTGCGGGGGTGGTTATTTGCCCGGCGAGGGTCCCCCCTGGCTCGGTGGTGGGATCACCCTGCCGCTGACTGTCCGGGAGCAGGCGTGGAGGGACATGTGCAGGACCGGGCAGGAGGCGTCCTCTCCCCCTCCGGTGCACTCTCTGCTCCAGGGCTCTAATGTTCCCCAGCAGGGACCCTCCCTGGCCCGGACAGCGCCCCAGGGTTGAGACCCACGTGAGGCTGAGGGCACGCTCCTGATGCCCGCTGCACTGAGCGGGGCTTGGAGCAACCCCCTGTATCCCAACTGCATCCCCGGCACAGTCACTACCGCCAGCCGGAGGCCAGTGCCCGCTCACCCACGCACACAGACAGCAGCTGCCTCCTGCCTGGGCAGCCTCCCGCAGGAGGGGGGCACACTGCTGACACTGCAGCTCTTTCGTGGGCCCAGCTCAGGGGGACTTAAAGTGGGCAGGGTCGCCATGGGTCACAGTCCCGGCAAAAAAGAATTAAAACTGAGTCAGCTCACAAAGGGTGAAAGCACTGCCCTGCCCGTGCATGAACATTTATTGCAGCTGGGATTGTCATAAAAGCCCTTCCCCCCACCCTATTTTCCCAAGCCACTTAAAACACTGAGTTTAGGGATTCACAATTATCTTGCAGTGGTCAACAGCCCAGAACAATCCTGACTATTGTACAGAAACCGGCTGATTCACCCCTGTCCCCAAAGTGTCATATATCATGGGCACAGGCACTGGCCGTCACCCATGACTCACACACACTTCCCGTCTGTTTCACACAACTTTCACCTACACCCACTCGCTCCTTCTCTCACACAATTACATTGCACACCCACTCAGCCACACCTGGGTCAGCCTTGCACTGGCTGCATCTCTCTCAGCCAAATGTTTGTTCTGTAAATTTACAGTCAAACTTGAGCAATTACTGCTCAGCCACAGTTTAGTCTAGACGCCTCCCTGTGTTCTGTCTGTGTCAGTCCCCTCTGTGTGTGTCTGTGTGTGTGTACATGTACACAAAGGTACTGACTGACGGAGGGAGTTGGGGTTTTATCCGTGTGGAAGTGCTAACCCAGTGGCGCTCTGCTCCCCCATGCCTTGCCCCCGGCACACGACTCTCTGAACCCTTTCCTTTTTTAGTGAATTCTTTAGCTCTGGCTCATCTTCGGAAGCTGCCGCCAGGCCCCGGCTGGAGCAACATAGACTCCACAGGCAGCAGCCGCAAACCATGCTGTGAACAGGCACCAGGCAGAGCACCCCCCACCAATGGTCCCATGGACACTACAGCCCTCTCCTCCCCTGGGCATAGCCCTTCTCTGTCCTTCCCCACAGAATTCTGCCATACAACCTGTACACCAGTGCCCTCCCACATCCCTCCATACACTCCATAGTGCCCTTCCGCCAGCGCCTTCCCACATCCCTCCATACACCCTATAGCGCCCTTTTGCCAGTGCCTTCCCACATCTCTTCATACACCCCACACAACCCACCCACCAGCTCCTCTCCACCCCCCACCCCCCACGCAGGGCACCTCTCCACCCCACCAAGCAGCAGCTCCCTCACCAAAGCCCTCAGCTCTACAATCCCTATTTCCTGGCTGCTCACCTCTGCACAGCCACCAACCCCCTGCCTCCATCTCGCAGTCACCATGCACCAGCCTCACCTGAAGTCGCTCTTCCCATATGCCCCAGGGTGATTGGTGCCTCCATCCTTTCACATCCCATTGTAATATCAGTAGTAGTTCTACATGCTGAGATCCAGGCAGTCACATCTCAAGCTGCTGGGTGGTAGGAAAGGCTTGCCCTATGGGATGTGCCCTTCAGCTGGGGGCATTCCTTTTGGTGGGGGTGCAGGCTGCTTTCCTGTGAAGCATCAGGCACTGACCTTTGCCAGAAACCGGGCCCAGAGCTGGCTGGGCCATTGTCTGATCCGGATCGGCAAAGCTCTCCCTTATCAGGGGGTAGCCATGTTAGTCTGTATCCACAAAAACAACAAGGAGTCCAGTGGCACCTTAAAGACTAACAGATTTATTTGAGCATAAGCTTTCGTGGGTAGAAACCCCACTTCTTCAGATGCATGGAGTGAAAATTACAGATGCAGGCAGTATATAATGACACACGAAGAGAAGGGAGTTACCTCACAAGTGGAGAACCAGTGTTGACAGGGCCAACTCGATCAGGGTGGATGTAGTCCACTCCCAATAATAGATGAGGAGGTGTCCATTCCAGGAGAGGCAAAACTGCTTTTGTAATGAGCCAGCTCTCCCTGTCACCTGTGGAACTTAGGACAGGAGCAAACCCCTGAAGCAGCATGTGTTCCGGATAGAGAAGCTCCATGGAGCCGAGCAGACAGTGAGTCAGTGAAGGTCTCTGCACAGCCAGGCCAAGCTGGGGAGGAGAGACAGGGTGGTATCCCAGCTCCTTTAATGAGCCTCTCAGCAGGACTTGGAAAAGCTTCAGTGTGAACATGGTGTGGAGGCTGCCTGTCCATGCACCTGCAGCAGCGAGCTTCCCAGCCCAGGTCGACAGACGCCGGCTAGCAGGACTCACCTGAGTGCTCTAAAAATAGCTGGGTGGGCAGCACTTCGAAGTTGTGGCTTGTGCTGGAGCTTGGACTGTGAAGACCATCCCCATCCCTAGGCTTCAGAGCCCGAGCTCCAGTTCGTGCTGCAACTTCACAGCGCTGTCTACAACGCTATTGTTAGAGCACTAGCGCGAGCTCCTGTAGCTCGGGTCTGTCGACCTGGGCTGGGAGGTTCGCTGCCTTGGGCTATGTAGACATCCCCTGTGTGGCTTATGAGCCTTCCCACCTCCTCTCATCTTCCCGAATGCGCTCCTGGCTTTATCCTGCTCAGGGTTCTATGTCAAGTGAATCAGGCCCTGTAAATAGCAGGGTCTTGTGACGTGGCCTCTGCTGGGGAGAGAGCTCTGGGCTGTGGGGATATTTTTAGTGTGGAGTCACGGAGGAGTTGAGGATTGGCTGGAATACCGAATACCGTTCATGAAGAGTCCATGTCAGAAATCAGGATCACAAGGTGCCACCTCCTCACCCCACTGACACTCTTGCTCTCCGCCCTCCTGTTTTTTCCTGCTCTGTCTCTGCTAAAACCACTTCCCTCCCTCTCCCCGTCCTGTGCACTCCCTCTCACCCGGCAGGCTTGGGTTTAAGTTTTTCCTTTTGCTGCGGTACGAGGCCAGATGCGGAATCTGAGAGGGAGGCTGCGCAGAGAATTTGAACAGGAGCATTCGGCAGGTTCCAGGCATCCAGTTTATGGTCAGCTCATCGCTACAGGCCTCTTCTAGGTCATTCCAATGGTTCTGCTCTAGCTGCTTCTCCCCGAGACTGAAGGAAGTTGCAAATTCTTAGGGTGGCTTTACCCTTTATCCTGCAATGTTCTTGCTGAGAGGGGCTCAGACTGGAGTAGCTGCGAGCTCCCCCCACAATCACTGTCCCGACCTGTTCCGTGTAATGCCTCCTGGCAGGGGTTGGGAGTTCACCTCTATAGACAGGGCTTCCATAAAAGGGAGCCCTGGGTACTGTGATTTCCTCCACCATTAGTGTGAATGGGGTCAGTGTATCCCTGTTCCGGTTCACAGGGCCTGGGTTGATGCTTTTGAGGGAATGCCCCGTCATGGCATGGCCAGATCGGGTGTGAAGCTGTGCTTCTTGGAGTAGCTCCCTAGAGAACTGATCCACACCCTGCAGAATGTACCTTCTTCCCTCATTTATACTCTGTTAACCTCCCCTTTCCCCCTGACTTTGCCCCATTCATGGCTTACTCTGTTTCTTTAATCTCTTGGGGAGTTTTCAAGGGATTTAAAGAGACATCAATTAAAGAAAACCCTCTCCCCATCTCCTCTTGGATTGTGCCTCCTTTAACAAGCCCCCCGCCCCCATCCATTCAGACTGCCTGGTGCACAGAGTGGGGTTTGTACTAGGATCCAGCAGGACAAGGGGAAATGACAAACATGTCCACTCCCAGCGGAAACACGGCCAGACAAGCTGCCGTGTGCTCAGTGCTCAGCCCAAGAAATCAATGAAAAGATCTCACTGTGTCCCAAATAATCCATTCAGCCATGTCACCCCCAGGGCTCATGTCACCATCAGTCGCTGGGAGCTACCCAAAGCCAATGCTCAGCCCCATTCCCTGCTGGTGTGGAATAGCTGGGACTGGGAGCTCCTTGTGGCTGGAACTCCTGCACCGTTCACTATTATGCTTCCTGCAGGAAGATGGGGAATAGAGGAGCTGAGCACCTTCCATGTCTGGCCTTTCTGCAGTCACCTTACAGGGTCTCGTGCTGAGAGACAGAGAATCCCAGCTGTGCAACTCAGCCAGCGTATCTGCCCTGTTTCTTTCAGTACATCTTGCGAAGGCAGGGTGGCACTGGAGTCTCTGGAACCAGAACACCTCCCCTGGCTCCTTACATTGCTTCCTGCTGCTGGGAGAGGCTGGGACCGAAGAAACCGAGCAATGGCAGTAGAAGGAAATCCCCATATCTGTTTCCTTCTCACGGGGCTGTGGTAGGCTGGCTCCTCTCCCTTCAGTCCCCACACTTGCATTCAGGTCCAGTTCTTCTATAGGCTTTGGTGCCTAATGAACAGCAAGAGCCGGAAGGATTTGAAGGCAGCAGGGAGCCTGGTGCCATTTCACGCTCTTGGGAAGTGACAGGCTGACGTGTTGGGGGGTCAGTGATCCAGGAGAGGCAGTGCTGTGTCCCAGCTGCGAATGTGCATAAGCCTCAGCCCATTGGTTGAGTGCCTTGTAAAAAAGACCACCAGCAGGTATTTAAACCTCAGAATGAATTCCCTGCAGCGCACAGGGGCTGCATTGTGTGAGTGTGTGTGTCACTTGCTGGGAACATGCCATCCTGATGAGACAATCACAGCGACTGACAGCGAGGAGAATGTGACCATCAGTCACATGGTGAAGGGCAGAGACAGGGAATGTTAGTCTCTTTTATTTCCTCCATGGCGGTTATTTAGCTGCAAATACATGAGCAGAGCTCTTGGCCTCCTAGAGTGCCTGAGATACAGGAACAGAGCGAGGGGGAAGGGAGAGAGGGAGCTGAGATGAGGAAGTGGGGGAAAAGGCTCCATCTCTGTTTCTCACTGCAGTCACCAGTCAGTCACCCCGCTGCACATCTTGCTTGATGCCTGCCTTAGTTACATAATGGTATTCAGTGCCGGCTACTCAGCTGGCTAATAAAAGCTCGCCAAGGAATTTACAGACAAGTTTGCTAATAAATGCAGGCACATCTTCCCCATTGAGGCTTTAGCACAGCTCTTGAGTGAGAGTAACATACCAGCACCAGTTGTGAGTGTACCAACCCATGCCACCTCCCTGCATCTCCTCCTGGGTGCCTGGAACATCCCATGGTTGTAATTGTCATGCCTTGGGAGAGAGATGTATAATGTGTGCATTAACAGTGTAGAAAATTGCAAACTCTTAGGATGGCCTTAACCTTTATCCTGCAATGTTCTTGCAGGGAGGGCCTGAGACTGGAATAGCTGTGCATTCCCCCTTCCCCTCTGCATACAGACAGTGCTTCCTCCTGGCAGAGGTTGGGAGCTCACCTCTACAGACAGGGCTCAAATCAAAGGGAACCCAGGGCACTGTGCTTTCCTCCAATACTAGAATGACTGGGGTCAGTGTGTCCCTGTTTCCACTGTGTCCCCTGTTCCAATGGAATAGGTGCACCAAGTAGATCACATGATGCCTGTTGCTCTACTGGAAAGTGAAGTTGTAACATATTGGCTATTGGGCCCCCAAACGGCAGTATTATTAATCTATTAGGTTCATATTGATATTGCAATAGTATCTAGGGACCCTGCCTGAGGACAGGCTCTGCTGTGCTAGGTGCTGTACAAATACATAGTAAGAGTCACGCTGTGGTTGTGGAAGCCAGCCTGTGGTTGTGGACGCTGTTGATGCCAAGGATATGGGGAATGAGGGCCCTTGGGAAGGAGTGTGAGGTGCAAGAACTTCAGGATCACCTTCTCCAAAGTGTCCCCAGCTCTCAGGGGTTTCACTAGAGCTGCTTAACACCCCCAGTACCTGAACCTTGGCTTCTCTGCACGACTTGAATTTGCTGGCCAT